CTAGGACTCGATACTCACCTGAAAGAAGCAGATGGTTTGGGTTCAACGCTTAACTGAGGGGCGGCGAGGAAGGAAGGAAGGTGAAGTGAAGTGAAGTGAAGCTTGTAGTTTAAGTAATAAAAAGATGATAGCAGCAAAGAGGGGGACGACCACAGACAAAAAACAAGAAAAAATAGACCTATATATGCTGCATGTTGTGTCATAGTGATATTCGTGAGTGACGAGTGACGAGCAAGGAGCGAACAGTCCTCAATTGCCAGGTGCGCCACATATCCACCTCACGTAGTTTAGCGACGAGGCAAATGAGATCTAAGACAAGTGATATGGCAAGTGAAATCTAAGGCAAGTGATATAAAAGAAAAGTGACATATAAGGAAAAGGAACATATAAGGAGAATAGGAAAAGTGAGGAGATGGTAGTAGGGAAAAGTTATCTACGTAGTGGGAAGGTGTTCAATAAAGGCAGGAGAACGTTGTCATAGACATCTTTAATATAGCATGTAGTGGGCTAGGAACAAAGAATTATAACTGCCGTCAAAGGGGAGTGAGGTGTCCTTAGAAGCTCACGGTTGTCTTATAAGAATTTCAGTCTCACACCTCACGTTCCCTTCTCACCAGTGCACCAATCCTGGGCAACTTCCCATTTTTCTTTATCCTAACCCACTCATATGGCTTTCAATAAGCTGTCATTTAAGTTCCAACACCATAGCATCTGTTTCATGTCTCCTTCCTCACTCTCCTTACCGAGCTTGCCGTTCAAGATTCCCGAGAGGGTGAATTGGAAAAAGACAGCTCCCCTTACTTTGAAAACTGCCCTGCAAAGGGCAGTAATGCGAGGGGAAATCACTACGAAAAGTGCCAAATAGTGAGGATCACCCTCCTCCCCCGACGGCGAGTATTTCGAGGCACTTATGAAGACCTCGAAGAGAAGAACGAGTTCCGAAGCGACTGTTCCACGCCGAGGAAACAATAAAGATGCTCCGAAAGCATAGGCGGGCTTCCGGACGATGCATTCGAAGCCATCGGGTCGTCATCTTTCAGTCTCATCTACAATTCTTCCTGCTTTGAAATCAACATCTATCAGATACGATCTCATCGGCAATGTCGTTCTCCTTCGAAGCATCCTATTCCTCAGTACCCCAGAAAATGGAAAAGCACGCGCAGAAACGCTGGAAGTCCTGGACTGACAGATTTGACCCGGCGTCTAAGATGATTTGAGAGCTCTTTATCTGCATGAGAGTGCTCTGGCCAAAGTTTAAACCGGCCAGGGACTTCCCCAAAAGTTTTGATGATAGGGCGGATCTCCAAGACCATGGCAGACTTCCCCGAGTTCGACGTATCCCTCGCCCGTATTAAAGAACGCAACATCACGTTAAATGACCGAGCAATGGGTGCCTTAGCTAGTCACACAGTCGCAGCGTAATATTTCAACGGATTGCAAAGCCTTAGGCCTTGAGTCCGATTCCTCTGTCATCCGACGTTCTGCTCGCATATAGCACCAACCTTGTCCCTCCGCAGAAAAAACTAGCAGCTCCGCAAGCGCCAGCGGAACAAGCGATGCTCCATCGGCCGGCGGTATTTTAGCTGCAACCCCGGTGCAGGCTATCCTCGGGTCTCGGGCGCTAGAGATCGAATTTTTGTACGTCGTTGGGAGGGACAAGAAGATGGGGAGGGCAACTTCGTTCTAACGCCAGCGGATATGAACTAGCTTGCTAACCATGTCTGGGGACAGTAAGGGGGAGCTGCCGATTCTGATATTCCATTCAGACGAACCAAAGATGAGCAGCTTGTAAATGACGCTCTTTTGCTGTTCCTGCGGGCTCTGACGGTCCATCTAGCTGGTATGCGGTGCAAATAGTCCTCGATTCGCTCTCCGTTCATGAAGGCATCCTTTGGGGATAACACAATAGAAGAACAGAACCTTCCTATTGAGGTGGTGAAATACCTGTGTTTCACGAATATCCCACCAGCCATTGCAGAAAAGGTTATTTCGAGCTGGGATCTCAAAGACCGGCTACACCAAGAAGTCATGTCCAAGCATCGGAACAGCATTACCATCGCATATTACGTGACGCTGCGCAACCCATTCACGAACAGGACTACACTACGAATTAAATACTCTTTATCACCTTGTACGCTGGGGACATGGCAAGAAGGATTGCGGTTCTACATCCACCGCTACGACAAGCAGCACCTAAATGAGGGAAGACAAAGGGCATAAGAGTGCCATTGATGTCGTTGGCACTCGTGCTTATCCTTACAGGAAGAGCTAGGGAGGTAGTGCAAGACTTTGAAAAAGCCATCGAAAAGATGCCAGCAAAGCTACAAATAAAGATAACCGAGACAAATGCACGGCAGATGTGTTTGTTCGAATGACCTGGGAAGGATATGCCAGGCTGCTGTTGGACGGGTTCCTATGCCTGACACCATTCCTCCGTCGATTCATCCCAGGAAAACCTGAACGCGTCATAGTCATGAAGAGTGCTTGCCTCGAGAGGCCACCTATCGATCTAGAGCCACTCTACAAGCGTCTGAGACCACGAAGCAGCTCGAATTCGATCACTTTGTCTGCCGAAAGCATAAAAGATTGTAGCAGTTCTCAATACTGGTTCGCTACGCTTTGGGAGGTTGTCGTAGCTGTTGCAGAGGTGATACAAGACCTCGTTGCAGGCTTTGATAGCTTTCTGAAAGGAGACTGCCCTCACCATCATCTAGCTGGGATTCGTGTCCCTCGGGCGAGTTAATGTCGGATCGGTCCCATATCGTAATAATCTCGCTAGCACTTTTCTCAATTTTAGGAAGTCACAGACGCCTATGGTCTGTGGGTTTCCGCCCGTGTCCCGCCGGTAAATCCTGACGACCGCAATCTCGATTTGCCTGGGGACGAGCCTTATCATGAAGGTTTCTTCTCGTCCCATCTCGTCCAGTCAGAGTCAGTATCCACGTGGCGCGGGCCTGTTGCCGTCAGTTGCATACAGAGTTCCACGGTTATCCATGTTGTGTACTGACATGACATATTTCCAAGCTCCGGTGCCAAAATGCCTTATCGAGTCTCTGTTAAAGAGGCTACTGAGTAACTCTCCCAAGTAGACCTCCGTAGCTCTGCGTCCTTTCCTTACGCGAGGTCGTTTCCATGAGCAACTATGCTCCTAGAAAATTCATCACGTACCCATGGACGCCCTTCCCTATGGATTTTCATGGATACAAACAGAACCCCCGACACTTGCTCCCCCGAGCAGCTCTATTGGGAAGTCCTCTCCCCCATTTCCTTTCGCTAACATTTTATAGAATGCCGTGCAGTGACGCTGTCCTTCTCTTGGTCCTTGCGCACGTCACGGCTGTCATTGCGATAGTCCATGGGTGGCGGGCTCTGTACCGTTGGGGTATGCGTGGTTGGAGCTGGTTCTGCGCTCGCCATGACCACAATGCTGGAGCACCAATATCATCGACTTAAATCTTCTTTCGCGCGATATCCATGAGGAAAGCGTGCAATGCGATAACGAGGCCACGGTTCATGGCCGTATTCCACAGTCAGTTGGCGGCTCTCCGCGTGGTCTGCCAGCAGGCCATGGACGAGCATGTATCGCCTCAAAAATAACCGTAAGTGGCCAGTATCCCTTACATATGCTAGCATGTAGTTCCACTAACAGGAAATTGCACTATAGGACCATGTCCACGACAGAAAATCTCCCATTTTGGGTTAGAGGCCAAGAAGAATGAATGGCGATTATGGAACTTCCATATTTAAGGAAACAGAAAACTGACGGAGCTGACATTGATGGTAGTCGATAATTATGCATGGCTCTTGAGCTCCAATTAGCTCAATTATTACTTCGACTGGAAAAGTGACGGCTCCTTCAACATCCCCCACAGCGAAAGCAGGACAACCCATAATCTTGCCCTTATTTCCCATCTCTCCTTTTTTTGGCCTTTTGGTGTTTTCTTTTGACCTCACAAACGTGCGCGCCGCGTGTGGCTGAACTACATTTGCCAAATTGGGGTTGAACAAAGTATCTTCCAATGACAGCTGCACGCCCAAAGCGCAAGTACCAGAAACGCTTTCAGCACCCCGAGTCAGAATCATATGAGGAAACTGAGGTGCCTTTGTCTAGAAAAAATGCAGGTGACAATGTTCCATGCAGGGAGTTATCCAAGTAGGCTAAATATTTCTTATTTAGGAAATCCGTCTATCTGTAGGGAATCTTTAATATAGCGCAGAACGATACTCTAACTATGTAGTTATCATATACCTCGATCTTTAAGTCATAGTAGAGTGAATTGTCCTACCATTTGGGCATGTATCTACAATCAGGCTTCCTTCCTCTCCAAACCCATTATCTAGCCATGCTTCAGTGACCTACATTATCGAGAAGCCGGAGCAAAGTATCGATCTTAAGACAAATACACCATCTTAGAAGAAGGTCCCCCACCGCTGACAGGAAGCTAGGCATTTCTAGTCTCAAAACAGATATCCCGATACGGTTGAGTGGCGCGAACCCGTGAACTAGAACGGACAAACTCATGACAGACCAAACCAATACAGTCTGGACTTGCGTTGGGAATACACAGTACAAATAATCTCACTGCTAGGGCAGTGAAGGATTATCTCTGCGGCTGTGTAGACACTATCTTTGAATGGCCGTATGCAAGTTTATGCATCGTTGACACCAACGGCGGTAGGAATATCCCTCCCTGCATACAACATGCATGGATATGTGCTTACTTGGTAATTCCAATTTCACGATAATAACTTCTATTCCATCATTGGGATTGACCATGGAATAGCTAGTTTATCTGTACAAAAATAATAATAAAATAGGGGCCTCAGCCAGCCCTGGAATGAATCCCATCCACCAACCCAACACCAACGCCAGCGGACTTTCCAGTCCAGAACAAGAACAAAAGCAAAGTGACACGCAGAACACCATGCTAGTAAAAATGCTATCATACAGAAAACCCACCAACCATTCATATTTCATGCACAATTGTTGTAAACCCATATCAACCCCCCAGACTTCGTCGCTTAAGTCTCCGCCTTTTGCGCTGCGACTGCTGAATGGAATCATCATTCAGAATATCCGGCGGCAGCTCAAATTCCTGCTCTGCCTGGTCAGGGACCGGATATCCGAATGCGAGAGTTGAGCGGGACCCGCCGCGGCGGATGCCTTTTGTTGCGGCAATGGCTGCCTCGCGCACGTGTCGTTGTCGGAAGAAGGATGTGAATGGGCCTTCTCGCGGGGCGGGGTTCCAGAAGTGGGCGAGGGAGGCTTGTTGGAGGGGTCGTGGTGGAGGCTTTTGGGTTGGAGTTGGGGCTGCAGGTTGTGGTTGAGGCTTTTTGCGTTTGGGGCTGGGTCTTGGTTCGGTGTCGTTGGTGTTGGTGATGGTAATGTTTGTGTTAGGGACGGGTCTGGAGATAGACTTCCGAGCAGCTGTCTTACGCGGTTTAGCAGCGCTTGCGGAGCGGGCTTCTTGATGAAGCTGACGCGCAGCCAAGGCGTCGACGTCGCTTGGGTCTAGGTCTGGGTCTGCATCTACGTCCGGCGTGCTGTGTGAATCAGTCCCCGGTGCCGGGGAGCTGTCCACGTCTTCCGCAGGACGGGATCGTTTGCGCGAGTCTTGTCGGGACGGAACATTGGGTGCTGCCTCTGTGCCCGGCACTAGGTGTGCTTTTTCCTTTTCTAGCTTGCGGCGACGCTCTTCGTCTTTCCATGCTTGGAACTTGTTAACCAGAGTGACTAGCTCTTGGATTAGGATATCGCGCTTCGGCTCGTAGAGCTTCTTGTCGCTTTCGTGGACTCCCGTCAGGCCCATCATGCGTAGCCAGTCGTGGCCGCGTAGCTCGTCCAGGAGGCGCTCTAGGACTTGCTGTTCGTGTTGGGCGCGGTTGCGCTCGATGTTGCGGAGTTGTTTCTCTTGTCGTTCGAACTTGCGGTGCGCGCGGAAATAGGTCTCTTCGCTCAGCGGGTCGATTGCGGGTATGTTCGATGCGGGCTTGGGGAGGGTGATCTTTTCACAGTCGTGGAGCTTTAGTAGCGGGTTGCCGAATGGTGTAGGGTCGGGGTTGGAGCAGAAAGGGAGTGGTCGCGATAGATCGTCCACGAGAGTGATGGTTGTTTTGGCGGCGAGGAACTCTATAATATTTAATGTCAGCTATGCGCTCAATCCCTTCCCAGGGACGAACAACCTACCAGGTTCAGGGACATCGAGGCTGATAATCTGTTCATAGTTGTGGAAATACTGCGCAAGCTCGCTCTTGCACCGTGACCCGGTATCGGTCGAACGCAACGACCGTCTCCCCGACCGTGTGTCTACCGATGTAGGCTGTTCGCCGCCAGCACCCTCCTCCTTGATCGCATTCTCGTCGGCGTCGGCCAGCGATCGATTGTCATTGCGACGAGTCTTGCGGGTCACGGGCGAAACGGGTGGTTTGACATTCGCGTCCACATTCGCCGGGGTAACGGTGCGCTGCTTCGCGACTGAAGGCGCTGGAGAGATCGTGTCTAATGGGTCTGGCGACTCATGAAAGCCGCGCAACAAATCCGCGCCGGAGGGGGTACCTTGGTCACGGCGGGCGCGTGGGGTCTTAAAGATCCCATTTCCGTTTGTACGTGTCGCCGAAGTCCCCAATTGCCCGACGGAGGAAGCGACTGTGTCAACGGACGAAGAGGAGTCGCGGCGAGTGAGATTGGAGGTGCGCGGGCGCGAGGGTTTCAACAAGTTGGGACGAGACTTTTCGGTAGGATCCTTGTCAAGACAATCGGGAGAGCTCTTGCGGTCGGAGTCGTTTTCTATGCGCGGTTTCTTTGTCGGCCGTGCTAGACCGTCGGCGGGTTCTTCAGGCGCCTGTCGCACAGAGCGGAGTGAGGACCGCGACAGGGGGGCCATTGTTGAAGGAGATCAGTTCATTGTGTGGGTGGATTGGATTCCCCAGGTTTTACAGGGACTTGGGGATGAGATCGCAGAGGAGTTCTTGGCGGATGCCGATGGAGGTTAAGGTGGTGAACTCTGCAAGGCATCAGATATCTATTGTTATTTTTCTATTCATTCACAATGCTATGTGTTCTAGTTCTATTGTTCTGTTCAGAATTAATATAACTCCTATTCAGAGACATTCATATAGGCAACCTACGATATAGGTGAACCCTCACTCTACTATGCTTCTACAGGTAATTCTGCATGATTCCCTTTGTTAAGTCAAATGAAACAAGAACATCCAAAATATTCTTAATATCCCAAATATCCCAGATATCTCGGAAAAGGACATACCCCCACGGTCCGAAGTGTGGGGGACGGCAATTCAACCATTGCCAGGTCGGAATTCCAATTAATTCCTGTAGGTGAGGATGCTGGAGCCTAGAGACTTCATTGGATATCTGACAGTATACCGGGTAATAGACAGTAACATCTGTGCAGTAATAGACCATATAGCTCCAGATTCAGTATATCAGATAGCACAAGACTTGACGCAAGGAGATCTCTCTTGGGCAAGAAAGCGAGTCATCATACTCACACGAAGGAAATAAGTATAGCAATAGTACACATCTTATACATACATATGTAGTATACCACCCTGGCCACCCATAATATACCTCGGTGAGTCAACCCCGCATAAGGCGTGGGGGGAAGAGGGGATGATGTCCGAATGAAACCAAAAAACACCAAATGCTTCTCCCACGCGTAGACTTTTGGAATGCAAAATCATTCGGTTGAATCAGATCTCAGTGGGGTGGACGTGGGGGGAATGCCTAGCTAAATACCTGTAAGTCCGCCAGTATTCATCCCCCTCATTTACCCTCCGGTGACATTTGGTATGAAAAGAAGGAATCCAAGAAACTTACAGGCCCTAACAGACCGATAGATTGAACTCCCCTCCTCCAATATGACCAACGGAACCAAGCGAAATTCCCTCCCCCACGGTGTCTACGTCCCCACCGTAGCATTCTTCAAGCCCGACGAAGAAGTCGATCTCGCAACAGTCGAGAAGCACGCCGCCTATCTCGCCCGTAGCGGGGTAACTGGCCTAGTAACCCAGGGTAGCAATGGCGAAGCCGTCCACCTAGACCGCGAAGAGCGCAAGGCCATCACAGCCGCCACTCGCCGCGCCGTCGACGCAGCCGGCTACAGGAGCCTGCCGGTGATTGCCGGCTGTGGCGCCGCCTCAACCCGTGAGACCATCCAGTTCTGCCAGGACTCCGGTGCAGTAGGCGCCGACGCTGTCCTCGTGCTCCCACCCAGCTACTACAAGTCACTCGTGAGCACCGAGTCCATGCACGCTCACTTCCGGGCTGTGGCCGATGCCTCGCCTGTCCCTGTCCTCATCTACAATTTCCCCGCCGTGCAGTCCGGCCTCGATCTCAGTTCAGATGATATCTTGACTCTTGCAGAACACCCCAATATCATCGGTTGCAAGTTCACGTGCGGTAACACGGGTAAGTTGGCTCGTGTTGCGGCGGCGAAGCCTGATTTCTTGACTTTTGGTGGCTCGGCCGATTTCACGCTGCAGACGCTTGTTGTTGGTGGGGCGGGGATTATTGGTGGCGTGGCTAATATGATTCCTCGCTCGTGTGTGCGTCTTATGGAGTTGTATCGTGCTGGGAAGGTTCAGGAGGCGCAGAAGCTGCAGGCTGTTGTTGCGCGCGCCGACTGGGCTGCTATCCATGGTGGCTTTATCGCTGTTAAGACTGGCCTGCAAGCCTACCACGGTTACGGTGGTCTTCCTCGGCGGCCTTGTGTCGTGCCTTCTGCTAAGGAGGCGGCAGCCATCCAGGAGGAGTTCCGGGAAGGAATGGAGTTGGAGAAGTCGTTGGAGTCGGCCTAATGGATATGAAGTAGATTAAATCATGATACCTGAGATCCCATGTGGAGATTTCTGTTCCTTTCAAGGCGTCTTCCGGGTGTTTCAGATTGCTTCATAGATCGACACCAGTGTGACTGTGTCATTTGCCTGTTGATCCGCAGGTCCCCCTCTTTTAATATGTGCTGTTATATGGAAGTTGAAGTTGCATGTAGAGGTTGCACTTCCTCTTTAAATTCGTTTAATCATTTGAAGGTGAGTTCTAAGGTTTATTAGCTTTTTTCGCAGATATGCAATGTAACAAGGGAGCTGTTTGTTTTTTCCCGAACTTCCCCAGGTTGCATCAAGGGCCATTCCCCATTCCGATATGAGATCGGCAATGCAGATCAACATAAATAGTCCTAGCTATCTCCTAGCCACAGTTTCTCTATTTCTCATACTCACTCACCTCATCAACATGAAATTCGCCTCTGTCTTGGCTGCGCTCGGGGCCCTGACGGCTGCATCCGCCGTCCAGGTAAATCCACTTCCCGCCCCCCGTAACATCACCTGGGGATCCTCCGGTCCAATCCAAGTCAATGACTTGAATCTGAACGGTCGTCACTCTCCTTTGGTCACTCAAGCTTGGGAGCGAGCATGGGAAAGCATCACCACTCTGCAATGGGTCCCTGCCGCTGTTGAATCTCCTATCGCCTCCTATCCAGCCTTCCCGTCCTCAACCCCTGTCTCCACCCCTGCCTCCAAGGCCAAACGCGCGCCCTCCGCAATCCAAAACGTCGATGTCCATGTGGTGGACAATGATGCCGATCTCCAACACGGCGTGGATGAATCCTATACCCTGGGTGTGGCCAATGGCGGCATCAAGATCAATGCTCAGACGGTCTGGGGTGTGTTGCACGCCTTCACCACCCTGCAACAGATTATCATCTCGGATGGCAAGGGCGGTTTGATCATTGAACAGCCCGTCAAGATCAAAGACGCCCCGTTGTACCCTCACCGCGGTATCATGATGGACACAGGTCGCAACTTCATCACCGTTCGCAAGATCTTCGAGCAGGTCGACGGTATGGCCCTGTCCAAGCTCAATGTTCTCCACTGGCACTTGGACGATTCTCAGTCGTGGCCCATGCAGATGAGCTCCTACCCTGAGATGACCAAAGATGCCTACTCGCCTCGCGAAATCTACACCGAGCACGACATGCGCCGTGTGATTGCCTACGCCCGCGCGCGAGGTGTCCGCGTTATCCCCGAGGTCGATATGCCCGGCCACTCCGCCTCGGGCTGGCAACAGGTCGACCCGGAGATTGTGGCATGTACCAACTCCTGGTGGTCGAACGACGTGTGGGCGGAGCACACCGCGGTCCAGCCAAACCCCGGCCAGCTCGATATTATCTATCCCAAGACCTATGAAGTTGTCAACAATGTCTACCAAGAATTGTCTCGCATCTTTAGCGACAACTTCTTCCACGTTGGTGCTGACGAGATCCAGCCCAATTGTTATAACTTCAGCACCCATATCACCCAGTGGTTTGCCGAGGATCCCTCGCGCACCTACAACGACCTTGCTCAGTACTGGGTTGACCACTCCATGCCTATCTTCCGTAGTGTCGGTGACCACCGTCGCCTCATGATGTGGGAGGATATAACCATCGCGACTGAAAAGGCCCACGACGTGCCCAAAGACGTCATCATGCAGACCTGGAACAGCGGCGATGGTAACATCAAGAAGCTCACCTCGGCCGGCTACGACGTCGTTGTTTCAACCTCCGATTTCCTCTACCTCGACTGCGGCCGTGGTGGCTCTGTCACCAACGATCCCCGCTACAACGTGCAGAGCAACACTGCTGGTGGCGTAAACTTCAACTACGGCGGCGACGGTGGCTCCTGGTGCGCCCCCTACAAGACCTGGCAGCGTATCTACGACTACGATTTCCTCACGAATCTCACTGCCTCCGAAGCGAAGCACATTATCGGCGCCGAGGCTCCTTTGTGGTCGGAGCAGATCGACGATGTGACCATCTCCAGCGCGTTCTGGCCTCGCGCTGCTGCTCTGGGTGAGCTTGTCTGGTCTGGTAACCGTGATGCTGTGGGTAGAAAACGTACCAACAACCTCACTCAGCGTATTCTGAACTTCCGTGAATACCTCGTTGCCAATGGTGTGATGGCTACTGCTCTTGTGCCGAAGTATTGTCTGCAGCACCCTCATGCTTGCGACCTTTATAAAAACCAAACTGTAATGTCTTGATTGTGGTTTGAGCTGGACTTTTAGTGAACTTCATGCCTGTCTACTCGTCTGTATATACTTAGTCTGTCTTCGATACCCATTACTATTGGAATTTCTTCCAGGCTACATGTCCCTGATCAGTATACCATTTCATGTCCACATTGAATCTGCAACAGTAATACCTAATCCGAAATCATCAACAACCTACCTACACCAACCACCAACGCCTCCCATATATGTATCAACTCCATACCCAATCCCAATCCCAAGCAGGCACAAACCCCCCAGCCAAAATCAAAATCAGAACCCGACGCCAACCCTTCCCTCTTCCTCTCCATATATCCATACCCATCACCCAATCCAAATCCTTAATCTAAACCCGCCGATAACCCCAGAACCAAACTTAACCAAACCAAAACATCACAAGACCGTCCGAACAACCAAAATCCCCACAGACCCTCCCGCCTTCGCAGCCCGCCCAGTCCACCTCCACAACAAACTAAACCCCCAAAGATCGAAACTGCCGTGCAACCCTCTGTCTTGGAACTCTCCCTTCGGTCCCGTACCGGACTCTAGATGGGCTTCGGGACGGGCTTGCTGTATGCACCATGCATGTAGCACGGAGTACTCACACTACACATGTAGCAGTAGGAGATCTATGTACTATGTACGCATGTTCGAGTATACAGTACGTAGTGTTGCATGCAGGTCGGATTGATATTGCATGATGGTATTAGCATTAGCATGTACGGAGTACCTGCGGTATGTATCGATATTACTTCCGTACATAGAACGTGTAAAATTAGACATGCATTATATGTACATCTACATGTAGATACAAGGTAGATATGCTAGTGTATTTGTTTGTGTGTATAATGTAGTGCTATACCGCATCCTCGGAGTAAACCAGCCCCATTTAAACATCCATGCTCGATCAAAACTCGAAACCAGTCTACGGACTCAGACCGGGCTGAGCTGGGGGTTGCTCACGTGTACATGCATAGGGGACATATGTCGCACAGGTGGATGACAAATTGACGAATTGAGGAGAAACACGCGAGTGGTTGGATGTTAATTCTCGTTGTGTTTATCTTTATTCTGGCTGGTGTTTGTCATACACGTGGAGACTTGTGGCAATATATCACTGGCGAGGTCCTTGTTTGATTTATATGTTTGAGATGGGGATGGTAAATGGGGTATTCTAAGAAGAATGCATGTTCTGGTTTACACATTCCCTTTCCCTGGGATTGGGATTTGGATTTGGATTTGGATTTTTCTTCTTTTCACCCTGTATCGATGTACTTTCTTCCCGAGGAGGTATTCGGGCACACCCTTTCTACATATCATGTGTCCATACAAATAAGTACCGACGCTTCCATTTCCGGTTCGCTGTGCGAGTAGATCGGGAACTGATCTCGCATATTTCGTACGGAGGGGAGTACAAACACGCGGTAGTTCTGCGTAACCAGGTGTTTATATTATTGGATTAGGTATTGGTGTTGTGGTGGTGTTCGGCTAATATGGACGGTTTGGGGAAGTAAGCTTCTATCCTGGGAATAGGTGCTTGGTTTGGTTTAGCCTAGTACTATATTTCCCAGGCTGTGCGGTATTTTGAAAATAGGTAAGTGTATTCCTGCCTTTGACTTTGGTTTATGGTTTACGTTTCCCCGGCGTTTGGAGGGTGGAATTGGTTTCTGTATCACAGTCGTGTTTCAACGGGGATCGGGGTCCTTTTCCTATTATATTCTAGGCTTATGTTTCATGCGGTGGTGCGGGTTCGTATAATGCATGTCTGGTATATCATATGGTCTAGTGGCTAGGACGTTGAGACGGGGCTTAGTTTGAGGTTACCCCATTGCAAAGTATATAAACCGAAATAGTCGAAAATATATATTCACATCCCAAAAAATAAATTCATTCGTCGAAGGGCATTACAAATTACCAATAGGTCTTAATCTTACTCTGACTCTTATCTCATCTTGCCTTGTTATTCGTTACACAGCATTAACCCCAAGAACCAGGTATAGTCTAACTGCGGCGTGGACCACGACCAAATAGAAGGTCTCGTGTTGGTTAGGCTAGCAGATCTGGAACTGTATTCTCGACGGGACTGCGGAGAATTTGCGGCATTTTGTGTCTACATGGTCATCCCCTGGTGTGTGTGCGTGTTTCATGATATATCCTGGTCGATTCTGACGTGCGTATGTATGTATCGCTGGTAAGGCTCGTGGGGGCTGTGTCGATTTGCATGGAAGCCCTTCTAGAAGCCAACCTTGTCGTTGGACGTACATGTGTTCTAGACATGTCCATATCGTCGGGTTTCAGCGAATGGTATCTCGCAACTTCGAGTCTGGATATGTCGCGGACGTGTTCGAGATACCAAATCGGGACGCCGACACAAGATAAACCCAACGTGAAGATAGAGACCTATTCCATACTATGCACTAATTCTTTGATCCTCGATAGTTATGCAATGCTTGCCACGAGCCGGAAGAGCATGGGTGATGTTTGTGGGCTGCCCAGGTATACGTCGTATAAAACCAGACATAAGCAGCGGACCGAGCTCAGACCGTGAAGATCCCCCAGAAACCAACCCACGCCTTATACTCATAGTAATGTACCTGCTCGACATACGCCACAAGTCTCGATTCCAGGGTTATCATAGGGGTGCCCGACCACGTATACACCCCCCCTCCTACCAGCCACTCTACCGGGCGAAAGGAAAGCGTCAGACCCTGCAGCGCCATCACCCCAGGTGCATCTGCATCTGCCGAGCTATCTGATCGCTGAACTATAGAACCTAATCACAACCAAAACCTGATCAACAGCATACGATGTACCCGGGTGGTAGGTCTACCCTTAGCAGACCACCCACTAGAGGAATTCGTCCCACCACACCCACCTTCCGCGTGCACTGTCCTACGCGCCCAGACAAATTCCACCTGGGTTTCTGTCTGTCCCTCTTTTCCTCCCTCAGCGATGCAGATGCAAATGCAGATGCGTATGCACACGCGGGCGCAGACGCAAAATGCAAAGGTACAGGCTCGAGATAATTTTCCTACCAGTTGCATCGGAGCGCCCGACTTCCACGTCGAATCGAAAAATAATTGTGGGCATCTTTATGCCGTGTTACCCGACGTCATGGCTCGTGAAGGAAAGGTATTGTAACACCACCTCAATGAGTGGAGTGGGGGTTCGTTGCGTCATCTCGGGGAGAGCGAAAGGGCTCCCCCATAGGCTGAGAAGAGTGGCTAGTGAGGTGGAGGTTAGTGTGGCTGTGGATTGATTTTTTCCGTCTTTTGGCTTCTTTCTGCGTCTTTCGCTGTGGCACAGTCGGCACGGTCGCAAGTTTGGTAATGTAAACGTGTAAAGACATGTAAACGCACAATTGGAAAAAGTGCACTTTTCAAGTGGAGATGTGATCCACATAATAATTGTCGCTAGTGAGTGTCCCGCATTGGTATGCGATATCTACAATAGGAAAGAAGGCGAGAGTACGGAGGACATCTATAGTCACAAATCCTTCGGATCGGCATGCCAAGTCAGATCAAAGTGACAGATAAAAATGGTGGATGTGTGATATATCCAACATATCCAATCAAAAGATACCCCTATTCGGATTTGGGATGTGTATACGAATTGACACAATCTAGTTCCCGACTTCCCGTGCAGTGTTGTCGATCATTAGGGACGGAGAGGGAAATATCACAATTGATTTGATGATGAATAGTTATACTCGATCTCGATCGTGCATGTGCAGCACGAGACCCTCCTGCCTATTATGTCCATGTCGAAATTGACAGCTGCGACTTGTGATTGGCGACTATGGCTTGACTAGTCATTTCTCACTGGGCTCTCGTTCTATACAATATATTGTTTGGCTACCCGCAATGCTCAAAACGGGAGCATGGAGTGATCATAGGTACAGGTAATGAACAGCACATGTCCGACATGCAGGGAATATCACCTCGGGGACCTCCCTAGTAGACTTTTGGACACTCTACGCGAGATGTGCTATCAATCTACTCCGTACCCTCGGACCTGCCTACATTACTCAAAAATGCATCTGCCTTGGCCACAGGTGGCACAGTGTAACGCCTTCCCTCGAGTTTATCACGGGGTTGGAAGATATCCAATTTTCTCTCTTCGGTCGGCTTTGATATATATCTCAGATGATTAGATCCCAGCTCTAATTTAAAGAACCACCCCATATTTGAGTCTGTGGGTACGTTGTAGCCCGAGAGCGTGACGGATATCGCATAACCACTGAGAAGTGATTGGGCTCCGTATGATGTACGGGGTACGGAATACACAGAAGCCCAAATGAAAAATAGCAAGAGGCCAGAATGTTTGATCTGCGTTAATAAATACCAGAAACTAGTTTCCAGGCACTGAATCAGGGCCGTGTTTGGTCGGTGGGTGACTGACTCTGCATTCCACTAGGATTCATAGCTTGACCCCTCTTTCTCAAAGTTAATCTTGCATCGATCGTGGTGTCAGTGGACGGCACGTAGACGCGTGATTGGGCCTGTTTTACCCCTCTCGGGCGAACACCCTAAACCCCATGAACACGTAGATCATGAACACGTAGATCAGAGGGCGACTCCACTGAGGGGTTGCATCTGGAAACGAGGAGCAAGGGATTAGGAATAAGGCAAACGTATGACGAATGAGTCCAATGCGAAGAGAAAGAGCCACACTATTACGTATAGAGCTGTTTTGAATCAAGAAACTCGCCTCGCGATCCAGTTACTGAGATTAAGAGGATCAACATCCCTGTCCTACCCGCATTTAACCTTGTTTAGCGATAAACTTAACAAAACATCCTGATTAGGAACATCTATCCTTTGGGTGAACTCCCTACATACTCAAGTATGTAGGTCTTCATTTTCGCTTTATAAGATTCAAATGCTGCAGTCCCACATGGACTGGTAATCCTGTCCCAACCAGATGGAACCGTGGAGTGAGAGGATCGGACCGCGCCCACAGCACGGCAGCTTGCCTTGCCTTGCCTTGACTGT